TTAATGCTGGGGGTAACCCTGCAATGGACTAGCATCCCATCCAGGGGGGAGTAGAAATACTCCTAGTCGCTTCATGCTACAGAAACCGGGATAAGTGCCGACCTGATGGGCCACTTGGCTCGTAAGCACACTTGACCTTGTAAATGACTATTTGGCTTGTCTCCTTGTTTTATTGAAGCACACATTTTCACTCTTCTATTTTACAATAAGTGCACAAATTGTTGCACGCTCATTGGCTAATTTCCATTGTCAATAAGGGGACAGACACATGAATTTACAATTAATGCGATGCGTCAACAAGCGAGAGCGGACAATTTGAATATTTATTTATCGTAAAAAACAAATTGACCTCAGTTTTTTATGCATGTGTCTTGTTATTGACAATGAATTTTGTCATAATATTGTCAAAGTAGTCTGTGTATCTGCTCGGCTATCACCTTGTGGATCCACAGCTACTTTGACAATGTTATGACAAAATTCATGATCAATAACAGGACAGACGCATAAAAAACTGATGTCAATTTGTTAACTATACCCTAATTCATCTGCTATGCTGTAGAACTCATCATGTTGATAGATCCCTCCGCCCCAGTTCCTCAAGACATTCATGTTTGCATCAGCAGCAGACTGCAGTAGATTCCTGAGAACCGAGCTGGTTACACGGTCCTCAAAGGCATCTGGGAAAAAAACAAAATGCAACCTTTCAAAGGGACACAGTTAGCTTTGAGACCACGCTGACCTGGACTACTTTGAAAAGAGTTCACCTCAACCAGAAATCAAAGATACTCGTTGAGTTCATCTAGAAATCCGCTTCAATCTTCGCAGTGTTTTGCTTGATTTTCAGTCGTTTACTGAAAAACCTGTTTTTGAGTGTGCTTTTGCTCATCCTATGATATTATTTCATCATATTTGGTTAAAGGCAGTATGGATCGCGTCTCTGTGATGTGGAAATTAGCTATGAAATGGTATCTAATGTGCACGTGCGCCAGCTGACTGTGTCCCTTTAACAGAGTACTTGTTACCTCACAAAAACAAATTTCTAAAATTATTTGATTAAATCAGTAACTTCAACACAAATTCTCCCATATAAATAAAAACTACAACTTCACAGGGCTGATTTACATGAAAAAATTCATGTCGCACAGTTGCCTCAAGCTTATCGTGTTTGACGAAATTGTACATCAGTTCTAATAATAGGCGAATTTCAATACATTAAATTTCAGCTTGATAGTGAACTCCAGAGGCACAAAGAAGAGAAAGAAACATGCCCACTCAATTTCCTTTGTTTGTGTCCTGTAGGGCTAGCTGAAAAGCTGAATAATTTAAGATATCAAGAACAGTCTATTCCTTACCAAAAATTGTAGGCACGCAATAAGTACAGAGGGTCTTTTACAGAAAGTTAGGAAGCTGTAGCCATTTGCATACATTGCTACCTGTTATTTTAAATTTGATTCATGTGTACCTGCTGGAATCCAGTTAGCTCCTTTTAGAAACATTGGTAAATCATTGATCTCAAAGTGAAATCCCCGTCCTGAAACAGAAGCTATATTAATAATGGTTACAATAACCCAGAAGTGCATAGGAACTAGGAACTACATAATTAAAATAACGTGAGAAAAACTGGGAGAGTGGGTGCTCTTGACATGCCCTGGCAGGGTGTACTGCACTCTGTTCTTGGGCAAGATACTTTACTATCACAGTGCCTCCCTCCACCAAGAAGTGCAATGGTTAATGAAAAATTTAATGCTGAGGGATGGACCAGCCTCCCATGCAGGAGAGATTAGAAAATAATACTCTTAGAGACAAGCTCTGACACTATGGGACACTTTGCCGCAATGATGACTTAACCCTTTTTACCAGATGTGTATATATTTAAGCAATAGGGCACTTTTTCCCTGTTTACATAGCCTCATCTAAGCACGAGGAGGGCTGAGAGAATTCAAGCCAGTTATGCAAATCCTTGACTACGTCTTGGGTTTGCATAACTTTCAAGAATTCCCCCAGCCCTATGAGTGTTTAGATGAGGCTATGTAAACACGGAAAAAGTGCTCTATTGCTTTCATAAAATAATTCTCAAAAATACATGCAAATCTAAAACACCACAAACGTGTTTACATACTCTCATCTAAACACACCTATCAACCAATGTTCAACTAACCTGGAGCATCCTTTATATGCTCCTGTACAAGATTGACTTTTCTGAAGCCCATGTTACGGCTAACACTTGACTGTTCTTTACCAGAGGAGCTCACGAACACCACCTGTTGATACGGAAAAAAGAGGTTAAGGCTGCATTGGAACCTAGTGGCCCATCAGGCCAGAGCTTCTCCCAGTTTCTGTAGCATGAAATTAAGAGGAGTATTGCACTCCTTCCTGGATGAGATGCTAGTCCAGGGTTACCTCCTGGCATGAAATTTGCTGGTACCCATTTAAAATATACACCTGGGTGGAGAGACAACTCAAGACAATGACCCTAGGTAACACACTATGTTTAAAAAATGTCATTTTAAGTAAACATAAGAACAGACATCCTGCTTTTACAAATTATGTTGTTGATGTGATTATTACCTTAACAGTGTATAAATTAGGTTTTCCATAACCTTGAGGCCACCAAGGTTTTACACAATCTTTCTCTGTAAAAGACATGACTGGTAAAGAAACTTTCTGTAAACCTTGTGACAGTTTAATGGGAAGTTTCTGAGAACGTGACATCTGAGGAAGGCTGAGAAGGAGTGTACCAGTCACGCCATCTTCAGCTGCATCAATAAACGTCGTTACTAATAACTGCCATGTAACATTCACGGAACCTGAAAGAGAGCAAGTCAGAATGTTTCAATTAAATATGTATCACCATTTAAACTTTAAGGTGATTCCCATTCCTTCAAATACAGGGCTCTGCAGGTTAATTGATACTGAAGTTGTCTGAAACTCATTTCCTTGCTAGGTACAAGTTGCAGTGTAACACTGAGAAAATTATCTAAAATGAAAACAGTGCATGGGTAACCATATTTACAAAAGACACATGACCAGGTTAAGGTTACGTCTGCATATCAGCCAAGAGGCCAATCAGGCTGGAACTTATCCCGGTTTCTGTAGCACAAAGTGACTAAGAGTATTTCTACTCCCCCTTGGATGGGATGCTAATTCATCGCAGGGCTTAACCCCTCAGCATTAAATTTGGTGGTACCCATTTGTACTCCTGGATATTTGTACACCTGGGTGGAGAGAAGGACTGTGAGAGTAAAGTGTCTTGCCCAAGAACAAAACACAGTGTCCCTGGCTAGGACTCAAACCCAGCCCACTCTATCCAGAGGTGAGTGCACTTACCATGAGGCCACCGCGCCTTCACAAGATCAGGTAAAGGAACCTCATAATTTCTTGCAATATCAACTATGATAAACCATGTCCCTTCCAATTATTTTCAAAATTATTTGAAACGATAACTATTGTAAGGGTATGCAGTGCAATCCAAGGTTAAACATTAAAGTAAACAACATTGCAAAATTCAAAGTTAAGATATACAGTGACAGAACCTTTAGTTGGTGTTACTGTGATGTCCCTTATAACAGCTGAGTCATAAGCCTGTAGCAAAACATTCCGCCTGTAGATTAAACAAATTAATAACTAATGTGAAGATCATCTGACATATGTAGCATTTAAGGGTGTAAATGTATTGTGAAACAATGCAGCTTAGTCTCTGTGACAGCTAGCTAGCACACACGGAACACAAAGTCACAAGAAACACCATTCAGGTGCTGGATTTCAGACTGCAGTTTTCATTAGGTTCAATTTCCAGTAGCCTTGTGAATTCAGTTCTCAGATCATGTGTGTGCTAAAGGAAACCGCAGTCAAGTGTCAATCGACACTCTTGATTGATACCCTTGATTGACATCTTGATTGATACTCGATCGACATCCCAATCGATACTTGGTGGACATGTAATCGACACCAGATGATAACAGCTGGTCAATAGGCAGCCAACTGTCAACCCACTCATATGCATCAATCAAAACTTAGTTGACTCCTGACCAACTGTAGACCGAGATGTCAATCAAGTGTCGATCAAGTGTCAATGGAGGTGTCAATGGAGTGTCAATTGAGTATCGATCAAGTGTCCAAGGAGAATATCGATCGACACTCAACCATGGATGCCTTTAGTACACATTATCCTAGTTCTCATCCTCCTTGAATGGCTGGATCACTGGTCCACATCACTTGTCCATGGATAATGTCACACCCAAAGTGTGAGAAAAGGAACATGGACTAACAAAGTGACTGGAAATACAGCCTAACCAGAGAAGCTAAGAGTTTTAACAGTAAAAAATATTTACCTTATGTTTGAAATGTTTTAACCTTATAAATTTTGGTCTAGTTAAGAAAAGAGCAGATTATGAACATCACACATTACTATAAATCTACTAGCGTTCTATCACAAAAGCCGTTCTCTGATTGGCTACACTACTCACTATTGTGATAGATAGTGAGTAGCGTAGCAGTGTGCCCTTGTTAACAAAATGAATGCCCCTTCTTGGCATTTTCAAAGTGTCTGTGAAGAAGATTTAGACAAAGTTTTGAACAACTAAAAGATTTATACTAAAACAATTAGATTATTCGCTCTCGATTTCTATGCAACACAGTTGACTCAGGCTGGGCCCTCGTCAACTATCAACCGATAGAAATCTCAAGCGCGAGTCTAATTGTTAAATATTAACATAGAAATATGTTTATTAAAACAAACTAGTTAGTATGACTAATGGGTGACTATTATTTTAAAAAATCTAATTTAGAGCAAGATGTGCTGTACACTGAAATGTTACATCAGTTTTAAGCACTTCACTTTGACTAGACAAAAATTTCAACATTATTTGTTATTTGAATCAGCAGTTCAGGATTAATAATGAAGTTTAAAAACATACCAAATCCCCTGTGGAACAAAGGCTGGTCCCCAGTCCTACAAAAGAAAGTAAAATAGTCATGAGACAAGGGTTGTTTTAATCTTGCCAATTGCAAGAGCTTCTTAAGACACTGCGGAGTACTTGTTTCTTTAACAACCAATAATTACGTGCTCTGAGGTAAAATTCAACCCTTCAAGACATGCTATTTAAATCTATTTCAAAGCCACTTTATTTATTTTGAGCCCTTAGGATGCCAAGCTACAGTGTAATACAGTCAGAGGGAGATTGTGAGCAAGAAGAGCTTACTTTGAAGACCTCAATGAAGTAGAAGAGTTTTGAAGTAACATAAAATGAGAAGGACAGCAAAAACAAAAACAACAGCTGCCAACATTGGAGGGCCTTATAAGTAAACCATGACAGTGGCACAAATTTACAAACATCCGAGAGTAGTCTGAGAGCTCAGAAAAGCTGTAGAAACACAATTGCCTAGAGACCTGTGTTTCCACAACATTTTGTTTTGCCCCCAACTTCCACATGTGTTCGATCTATACCTAGAAAGAAACACAATGTTTTACACTCAGTCGCTTACATCTAAGCACGAACACATGACACTGAAACATACTCTTATTGGATGTCAAATGTGGCATAATTGGTCATCAAACATTTGAAGGTTAGCAGACTATAACCCGAACTTTCAGGCTGAGAGTCTTGTATCCACCAATATTTCATGGTTATACTAGAAGTAAAACCACTTTTGCAAAAGGCGTAATGTATATTGACACAGGTCAGGATCAATTTCTCTGAAGAAGTCTTCAATGTTCAATCTTTCTGCCATTTTGTATACTGAACTTTTAGCACAAAAGTTTGCTCCAGGGTCTGCTAAACCCAATTAGAGCATGTTTCGGTGTCATATGTTCACACTTAGATGCAAGAGATGGTAGTGCAGACAAAGATTCCAATGGCTCTTACAAAAGGAAAATATTCTCCCTCCACCCTCCCTGTTTGTTTAAAATCCACATCAAGTGAAACATTACCTGCTGTTAGGACTAAGAAATAAGATCTTGCCACTCACCCAACTAAAGGAGCATTGCTCTTTTCTGATAAAATTGCCATGACACTCTCCACGTTGTACACAAACTGGACACTGTGGGGGTACACGGTATGGAGACTTTTTAGCCTGTCCTTTAGCATACAACACTGCTGAGGTGAAGCGTACTTTAATAGTGTTCAAACCAGTCTTGAGAGCCCCCTTAACATTGAAGATATATCTGTGGAACATGTTTTTTGACTTGCCAACTTGGATGCCATTCACCAGAATTGTAGCAACTGTATCCAGTCCTTCAAAAACCAGGAGGATCTGTCTTTTTGATGTGATATCTTTAGAAACTGTGAGAAAGTACAGTGCAATAAAATACAAATGATTGTCATCTTTTGGAAGTTAGTACATACAGTACAGAAAAGATAATTTAGGTACACAAAACAATGATAGTTCGTAAACAGCTAGATTAAGGGACGTGTAACTATCTCCTCTTCTGGTGCTATGCAATATTGTAGTGGGCAGGCATGTACTCTTATAACCCCCAAGAGCTATGCTGGCATGAGCCATGGATGCACTCCCAGCAGGTCCTACTATACTGGATTGGTCTGCAGGATAGGGGCAAGACAAGACAGCATCCTGGTCCACCAGGCTGGGGATTGTGCATGGGGCTAGTATATTGACCTTGTAACAAAATCCTTTTAGTTACTAACACCAATACAAGAAGTCAAGGTACCAATGGTGTCAGAAGTGAAATATCATGTATCTTGAGAATGACATGGCTGGTAAGCAAAAGTAATCAAGGCTAACATTCAGAGGATGGATCTCCTGAAACTAAAGGAGCAAGGCACTAACCAAAGTGGACAAGGAGAAGAGCAGTGAAGCAAGAAAAGGCAGGGCAGGTTTGGAGTTAATTGAGGCAAGTTATTTTAGACCACACATACAAGAGATCTGTAAAAATGCAAGTAAGAAGGTTGGAGTCTTGTCACGTTTAAAGAATCTATTGTCTACAAACACTAAACTTCATCTATATAAATATGCAATTTTACCAACTTTAACTTACTGTCATCAGGTCTGGAACTTTTGTACAAAATCAGATAGAAGGAAACTTGAAAGGATTCAAGAGCGTGTTCTTCGCATTGTTTTCAAGGACAAATCTGCTACATATGATGAACTACTTAAGAAAGCTGGACTAACAACTCTATACAACCTAAGGTTACAAGATTTGGCAATACTAANAAGAGATGAAAAGAACAGTGATACCTTACATTCCTTCATATCAACTATAAGAAGAAGAGACATAGCATCTTTGCTTGGGGAAAATTGTGAAAACTGTCCCTTATGTTTATCCTGACCTGACTTTCATATTTACTTATTAATATTTTAATATTTACTTATTAACTTTTTTTAATATATACTTATTTATTGTTTACATTGATAATTTCTTTTTTGTGTGTGTCCCCAATTAGCAGCAATGCTAAATACCCCAGACATGTTAATAAAGGTTTTTGTTTTTGTTGTTGTTGTTGTTGTTGTTGTTGGTAAAGGACAGTTGCAGGTGGCATCCTTTGGTGACAGTCTTAAATGCAAACACAAATAACAAATACTGATTTAACAATCTAATTACAGTCAGTGTGAAAAGGAGACTGTGGACTGCACACTACAGATTGCAGACAGGGGGATAAAATACAGACTGAGGGTACAATGCAGACTGCAGATCAGAGTTGAAATGCAGACTGAAGACTATAATAGACTTTTTAGCAGAGCTCCAGCAACCCAAAGAGCCACCAAGTGGAGCCCCATACTCATATAGGAAAGAAAGGAAACCCATGAATTGATTATCATGGCCAGCGGTATTGCTCATGGAGGCACAATGACAACGACAAAAAAGTTGCGCAACATGGCAGCCATACTTTGACAAATAGGTTGACCGAGACATGCAGCCTTGGTTTACGGCGTACATCGTTGATATTGGACATCCATGTTATAGTCAGTTAACACCTATCAAAACAAGGTATCCACTGGCCAGTATCATATGACAGTAACCATATCACCGGCTCAAGTTTAGAGCTCATTGAGGTCAGGTTTTTTTTTTAAGTTGACCGCTGTCCAGGCACTGGTTTTCAATTGGATCGTAGGCTCAAGTCAGATAAACCTATTGTAATCAGGAACTTTGCTTTTAGGCTTGGCTAAATCTATATTTATTTAATATTAATTATGCATTGTGTTATTTCCATTATCAAGAGCTAACTGTAAACAGGGTTGTTCAGGCTAATCTGAGTGAAAGTCTGCAGCCTGAATAGTGCACTTGTTAATTTAAATATCACTCTTGTTGGCCTGTATATCACTCGGGTTAGCCTTAATAACACTCTGGTAAATCTGTTTAGTGTTAAATCTAGCTCTCAATGATAGAAATGGTAACACAATTCAGTTAAAAAGTCTGCAGTCTGCATTTTACCCCCAGTCTGTATTCTAACCATGGTCTACAGTCTGCAGTCTCCAGTCATTTTACACTGACTGATCTAATTAAGCAGGCGTGGATAAAGATGGAATGGATTGGGTGGTTAGCAACCCATTGTAATTTCTACCTTATGGCATTATCAGCATTCTGGCTCATAAGTTTTCAATTAGGTTGCAATTGTCAAATTACAACATTTTGTGGGCATGCCCCATTGATTCTGCAACCCCAAGGTACCAGCCACCTGTTGACCCCTGTTAAGCATGCATGACTGTGGTAGTCTTACAGGAGGGAGAGGAAATTAGCATAAAGAGAATAATCTTGACCGGTTCAGAAAAGAATATACAAACTGCTTGTTAAAAGCATTAAACATATATGTTGCAGGTCAAAATGAAATTCAGGTTAAAATGAAATTCCTTTGTCTCTTTACCCTAATTATTCATGGATCATGAATAATTAGGGCTAGAAGACAAAGGAAATTGAGAATCAAACTGGGTTAAAATCATTTTAACCTGACTTTCATTCTCACCTACAACATACACTTACTTTGTCAGGTAATTATATCTGTTATCGACTCCCTCGCAAAACAAATAACAACGAATGAGATAAATATTTTCACACCTTCCAAAGACCTTGTGTATGTCCAGTTGTCATAAGCTATCCATCGATAGTTGACATCATTAAACCGGAAGTAAGGATCCTTGATAGTTCCATTCTTGTACAGCGCTGTATGGACATTTCCGGGAACATTTCCGGGCACAGAGATGCTCTTATTTCCGTTTGTAACAATCCAGGTGCCTCCAAGATCCACTTCGACAACGTCACAACGTATCAGAGTAAAACAAGAGGCGACAATGTTTAGAAGAAGGACCAAAACATTACTCTTGATCGCCATCTTGAATGTGATGATCTCATTAACAACATAAGCCTGTCCGCATTACAGTCAGCGGTTTCAATCATCGGGGGCAAAAAATTGCGGGAAACACACTGATTGCAAATGGCGACGAAACGAGCGCAGGAGAAACGAAGTCAGTTTTGCAAAAGTCGTCAGGTTATCGAATCATTTTACGCCAAACACTTTACACTGCTTCGCTATCTTCGCAAAGTCAAGCACAGAAAAGCCCTACGCCTCATTCAAGATGGCGATCCCGTGGAATATCGCGTTCTCCTCAAATCAACAATAGTGGCAGGCGATAGTGATGAGTCAGCTACACAGCCATTTAACCCAACACAGACACAGTGGTTTACTTTGAAGGAGATCATCAACAGAGTCATTGAGCTCGTCTGCCGAACGAACAAAGCAAACGTGCTAGCGTTTGGCTTCGAGTCTTTGAATGGGTATGGAAAGAAAGGAACGGTGGCTGGGACTATTGGAATCCAGAACAGCTATCCTAACACGATCGTGAGTTATTTGAGAACGACGAGAGCGTGGCAAATGCTCCATGAGCGCGTCGGAGACGACTTAATGATACATTTGCTTCAGAATGTGTCTATGTTTGTGAAGGTTAAAGCAAAGTGTTATTTCCAAGTGGCTGGTTATCCCATTAGTCGTCTAAGTCCTTTGTCAACAACAGACACCACTCCTCAACTCCACAACAAGCCAGTAGTAACACAGTCGGCCGGCGGTGGAAATGGCGTAAGTACTGTTTTAAAGAGGAAAACAAGACGAGGCGGTAAGCGTACAAGGAGATATCGCGAGAATTCCTCGCAGAGCCAGAAAGAAAAGGAAGATTTGCCGGACGTGCCCGATAAAGAGGATGAAACCCCCGGACATGATGTGGAGTCTGTTCGTGACAGTGATGTGGTCGCAGCTAGGCCAAATCCTCCCGCAGTATTAGCAGATCCTGCTGAAATGGATGGAGGCAGTCATGGCCTTGATGCGTGTGTAGATTTCCCTCAAAACAAACAGAAACGTAAGCTTGAAAGCTATGACAGTGATGAACAACCTCGAGCTAAGGAAGCAAGGATGCCTTGCAATGCCCCCGATTATGTAGATAAGTCTCCAGAGTGTGGTTCAGTGGAGAAACTTGCCACTGAAGCTTCCCCATTGTTGTTTTCAGGTGAAAGTAGTGGAAAGTCTACTCAGGAATCTACCCACCCTTGCGTCCGGAATAGTGATGTCGATTCAGCAAAGAATGTCATCGAATTTCCCCTCCATGATGATGTTTCCACTTCTCTCTTTCGAGACAACATAGAAGAGAATGCGGCTGATCAAGAATGTCGTGATGAGGTCGAAAATTATTTACACCGAAATGAGGAGAAAGAATCAAGTGTGATGTCAGTAGAAAGAAGCGTGGGAACTTTAAAAAGAAAGAAATCCTCTTCCAAGGGCGCTGGAAGGAAAAACAAAGATCAGGTTAGACGAAAACCGTGGGATTATCTGTTAAAGTTTCTACCCAAACCAGGACAAACTAACTCTAAAAGGCATCCTCGCGGGGTTCGAAGCGACAAGCAAGCAAAACAGAATAACAGACAGCAGAGTGATCGCCCAGCTTCGAAGAAGAATAGGAAGGGTATCCGTTTGAACGAAGTTTCCCTGCCACGTGCAAGTTTGTTTTACTCATCAAACCTTTCCCAAAGGTTTCCTAAGAAACATGTTATGGAAACATCACCTGTAAGTATGGCTGGAGCGCGCAAACTCTCCCAGCAAATCTTTTTGCAAGGAAGCTGTTTGACTACCAGTGGACACAGTAGTGGGATAATAGGCAGCGAAAAAAGAGATGATCAAACTGCTAAGAACGCGACTACAACCTTAACCAACCATGATGTATTTAGAACAGCAACGCCCATCGCACAGAAGCGAAAGCCATTACGTTTGCCAAAGAAGCTTAAGAAAATACAACCACTTCTGCTGAAATTCCTGGCAAGGCATAAGAAGTGTCCGTTTAGAACTCTGTTGAGACACCATTGTTATTACAACGTGCAGAAGAGAGACAAGAAGAGCAAAAAGAGGAGAATCTTGCAAAGAATCCCTTTCAACGTCAAGATGATGTACCACAAGCGATCTTGGAAGGTTGGCACAAAGTCTACCAAATTCGTGCGTCGCGAAAAGAAACGCGTGGAAGTTGACGCGCTGGTATATCGCCATGCTGTTAACAATTACACCAAACATGATCAAGTGAGTGTACCATCAGCAGATGTAAAGTAAGCTAGGCTAGAATAACAGAACGCGTAATATTAATTTAGCGAGGAGACTATGAGCGTTTTTGGTAAACTAGGAAAAGCTTTTCAGGAGGGAACTTTGTCTTCGAGGATTTTCTAGTGGACGGTGTTATTTCTGAATAACTAAAGCTTTTTGTGCGCTCAGAAGGGTATTTCCCAAAACGATAATTTGTTAGACTGGTCAGTGAAACCTAGCGTGCAACTGCAACCGACTAGGACAATTGAGTCGCAGTGCGCAAGCAAATTAGTGTTGACCCGATAAATTTCAACTTGTTGCGGTTAGTTCTATAACTTTTTACTGACTGTTTAGCCGCTTAACTACCTACATTGCGTGAAGTGAATTTCTTCTGAGTTTAAGCTTTCGCAGGGAGCAGGTTACCTTCTAGCCTTACCTAAAAACTAATCTAATGATTCTTCTGCTACAGGTTGTGCGCTTTCTGCAATGTATCTGCCACAAAGTTGTTCCCAAAGAATTGTGGGGATCCTCAGAAAACAAAGCGACGTTTCTTCGGAATCTTGCCAAATTCATCCGTCTCCATCGAGCAGAAACATTTACCCTGGGCCAGGTGATGGCAGGGATCAAGGTTTCTAGCTGCGAATGGCTGAAAGACAAAGGAAGCGTGAAGAAGCACATTCCACTCTCTGATTCCCTGAAACAGCAGCAGCTGCTTGCTCAGTTTATCTGGTGGTTTGTTACCAAGTACCTCATGGTGATCCTTAAAACCTTTTTTTACGTCACCGAGAGTGGCACTCATCGCCAGAGAGTGTTTTATTACAAAAAACTAGTCTGGAGGAAGATCCATCGCTTTGGTCTGAACACGTTTTGTGGCGAGTTTTTTAAACCGTTGAAGACTAAAGAGGCGGACGAACTCCTTCGGAGGCCATCTTCTTTGGGTTTCTCGCTGCTCAGGTTTATACCAAAGAGCTCCACCGTCCGCCCTATCACTAACATGCGACACTGCCCGACGTCCAAGGAAACGATCAACGCCCAGAAACCGCAGTCAGTCAACTGGAAACTGCAGAATGTGTTTGAAGTTCTCAAGTTCGAGAGGCAGCGCAACCCGAAGAACCTGGGTTCCAACTTATTTGGAGCTGATGATCTTTACAGAGCACTGAAGCCGTTTGTGGCACGCGTACGCACAAGTTTAGAGCGAAGGCCGCTGTACTTTGTGCACGTGGACGTGAAGAACTGTTACGAGTCCATCCTGCATCAGAAGCTTTTTGATATCATAAAGCAAGTGCTAGAGGAAGAGGAGTACCTCATTCGACGGTTCTCTTTGTTGCGCATGTCGGCAGGAAAGGTCCACAGGTAAGAAGTATATCACAAGTGATATAGGAGGCGCAATGGCCCAATGGCTGATGCGTATCAACTTCAGGTTGAGTGATCCACGTGCTAGCGCTAGCTGGTTCTTGGGAAAAACACTTTGTCTGTGTCTTTTATGGGTATTGGTAAACGTTTTGTGCAATCTAACAAAATGCTGGGGGAGGGGAGGGGACTATCTGCCATGGATTAGCATGCCATCCAGGGGGGAGTAGCAATTCTCCTAGTCGCTTCATGCTGCAGAAACTGAGGGATAAGTTACGATTGCTTGGGGCAGTTTCCCCGTGATTTCACTTAGCCTTTCAGAATTTTTCAAAGTTATATTAGATTCCAAGGCGGGGTTGTACTTACCAATTTTATATTTGAGTTCTCTCCTACAGCCCAAGTTTGGCAAAGTTTTTAAAAAAATCTGTACATAGGTTTAAGAGCAACCTTAAAGTTTTGAAAATTTAAGGTGGCTCTGAAGTCCATGTAGAGAATTTTTTAAACTTTGCCAAAAGTTGCGTCCTATCATGCTTATTAAAATTTGATGATATAAAAAAATTTCACCGCGCCGCTTTTGAATTATAAGCCCCTTAAGCTGTAATTAAGGGTGTTTTAGCAGGTCATACTGTTGCAATGGTAACCTATTGTGTCACGAGAATGATAACGTGTTCACCAATGGGCTCGCTCTTAATCTCTCCTCTGAGAGGAGAGAAGGGACTAAGAACAAGTGACCTCAGACCATCTGAAAATGACGCTATTGCGAAGGGTGCTAAGTGGAAAAAGCAAGCTTTAACAATAAAACTAAAAACGTTTCAAATAATTGTAGCTCAGTGAAGAGTCGCGAAAATTTAACATGTTCTTTAATTTGTAGGGAGTTTTTGAAACACGTCAGTACTGCAGATGACTGTCGTTCGTTTCCAGACTTCTTCCGTTCCCTCGTGACCGCATGGAAGCTGAAGGAAGTGATAGCTGTGGATAATGTGTGGTATGCGACTGAAGACCGCGACAAGCTGGTAAACATACTCGGTGAACACATCTTTAACAACATCGTCAAGATCGGAAACAATTTTTACCAACAAGAGAGGGGTAAGTGAGACATTGCAGATGTTTAGTTGTCGCGTAATTTTAGTTTGCAACACAACGACACTTTCTTTGAACTAATCGTCAAGATTTTACATAGCCAATCAAGTCAGCGAACGTGTGATTGGACGAAAGCACTGGAGATCGTCTCGGCAACATGTAAGAGATATTGTTCCCAAAACTCATAGATCACGATTTCATCGCTGCAACATGTTCCTGTTACATAAGTCTTCTTGCAGCATGGAGCCCTACATAATCAGAGATTAAATTGGGAACAATTCCAAGTCGATAGCGTATTTCTATCAGCACGAATTGTCTGCCGCATGCTTCGAGGTTTTTCGTCGCCGAAATGTCTCGGTAACATGAGGTGAGCTAAAAGTCCTTTTCTGACGTGACAATTTTCGAAGTACTCGCAACTGCTCGAGCTATCTTTTTTTGGTTAATAACACCAAGAATCTTTTAGAGAACTGCAATGTAGATTTTCCAAAACGGGACCTGTTCTATGGACTGTTTGAACTAACTAGTGTGGAGTAGAGATTTGCGTTCTTGTAAGGACTTTACTCATTTACCCTCTTATTCATTTAGGCATAGCACAGGGCTCTGTCTTATCCACAATGCTTTGCGGCTACTATTACAGTCAGATGGAGAGAACCCACCTATCGGAAGTATCCGAGGATCCAGACTCCCTCCTGTTGAGATGGGTAGACGACTTTCTCGTGATCACCCCTCGGAAGAGCTTGGCTGATAAATTCCTCAATGTGATGCATGCCGGGATACCCGAGTATGGTTGTTTTATCAACCACGATAAAACGCTGACCAACTATGACGTAGTCGCGGCTGATGGTCGGAAGGTGAAGAGTGTTGGGGCGAGTGAGAGATTTCCCTGGTGCGGATTCCTATTGGATACAGTGACACTTGAAGTTTCTCCAGACTTGTCTCGGTATACCGGTGAGTCTCAGTAATTATATTAAACTAGTGTATGTCTTTTGTTGCTCTTTCAAAGTAAAGGAAGCTGCTAAGATCAATTAAACGTGCGAAGAATTGCAATGCCCAGTTCGCTCTATGACGCGCGCCTGCAGTGCATCATGGTACGTCTGGCACAGGGCCAGAGGCCGTCACATTCTGATCTTCAAATGAAGTATTTCCTAAAACAATCGAACAGCTTCATCTATAAATCGAACTTCTAAAAAAGACTTCCTCTTACAAATTCTGGGCTTGTATTTGCTTGGTGCATCTCCCATTATGCACTACAGGCTTGTTCAGAAGTGAAGCGGCTCTCGTAAGCTTGTAATTCTATTTGTCGTCATTGTAGCAGCTGATATTGTTTTGGGGCTGGGGGACATTGTTTCTGTTGTTTGTTCTATTGTTCTGTCAAAGGATTTCAAGCCATTCATGTGAGACCTTACGAGAGCTGCTATATGAGCCGGCTTGTTTCCTGGAGGGTACTGCGCAAAGAATCCAATCCGTAAAATCAGAGCATTAAAATGCCTTTGAAGTAAAAAATACCGAAAATTGTCCAATATTCTCTGTGTGGAAGTTGCCCTTTCAGGGTTTCTTACTCTGTTTGATATCTGTTTTTAAGTTAACATTCCTGTATTTAACTCATATTAGGCAGAAAATTAGTGGCACTTATTTGTGGCTTGTTTCCTCTAAGGGCTCCTCTTAAGAGACACCCTGACGGTCTCCTTAAATGCGCATCCTGGTGAGGCCCTGAGAAGGAAGCTCCTATACTCAGTACGCCCCAAGTGCCATCCGTTACTACTGGATCAGTATCTGAACACACGTCAGAGAATCCTGCTCAACGTGTACCATGTGTTCCTCTTGACTGCGTACAAGTTTCACACTTACGTCAAAGAGTTGCCACGGGGTAGGTTCTATTTTTTTAGCTGGTGATTATTTGCGATGCGCATACTGTAAAGATGATGTAAAAATCGCCTTTTTATAACGGTAAACCCTTGCCTAGTTCCTGTACAGTTTTCTCCAAAACTTCGCGGTTAATTGATTTCGGTGACGTATCCGAGAGGAACGGCCGGGAGTACACTTTTCGCCTCGGACCACGTGACCCGAAAACGATTGACCGAGGCAAATATCAACGCCTAGGAACTAGGCAAGTTCATATAGGTAAGCCATTTGCTGAAGAAAAAAAAATAAAACAGTTGCAACGAGCATCAGCAAAAATGTGGTTTAGCATTTGTGAGCATTTTGTGGTTTAGCCTTTGTGAGTGTTAAAATTTGTCTTTGATCAAATATAAGAATTAAGAGATGATAAAAGAGAAGTGTTGATTCATTTTACATGGTAGGTTAATAAGACACGTTTGGGGGGATGACAATCCCATGAGAAACTTAGCTGAGTAACGCAGTCGATCGAAATTGATTCCCATTTTGAGGCGTCATATTATGGTTTTTTAATGACCGCGCTGCATGGAGCAAATAAACTCTTTGCATTCTATATATATGTATATTTTATTGAGACTATAGATTGAAAGGAGTTGTCTAGACATCAAAAAGCATATCGCAGGCGTTTATGATCAGTGAATGGGGTGTGCCGATGCCATAACAAATATTGAAAGGATAAAAAAATTGACATGAAAATTCTCCCGAAAACTTCAGCCGAGTTTGTTCAGTTGCTTGTCTTATATCAACCAATGAAACAGAGCTGCATTCTTAAACCGTACCGACTACAGCTCGAGGTCGAAAAAATAAAATGAATTCTTGTTAGTGATTGTCAAAAATAATATACTGTGTTGCACCAAAGGGATATCATCCTTTATTTGAAATTTTTGGTTTATTCTCGTCACCTGTTGTCTGCTTGACGATCAATTGCCAATAAATCATTATCTCTGGTTGTCTTTTTTGAAAGCGCAATATCTCTTTCATTCCCAGGTATTGACGAACCGCGTTGCGTACCTGGCTTCAATCCGGCACGGCTAAAGTTCTCAAAACGCGGTGTTTACTTCGCTTAGCAGTATTCGCGTGTAAATTCTCGCTGTTCCCTTTATAAGCCGTTTACACTAGCGGTACAAAAATTCAGGTTTTTTGTCACAGTGAGATCTGTGTTCATATGGTATTTGCCCTGTAAACCAACATCCTTGGCCTGGATATTAAGTGAAGTTTGCAAGACAGATGTGACTCATTAAAAGTCTGATGTTGATGTGGCTTTATATGTTTTCCATCAAAAAAAACTGAAGCTTTCATTTGAATGACAGCGTAATAGATGAAACCGTAGAGGCCTTAATGGCCTTTTATTGTTCGAATATATTTAAAATCAATCAAGTACACTTAATTTGCCGCTAAGTGTACTTGTGTTAATGTGAAATTTCTCGGAAAAGGGGAACTCTACCAATTGAAGCAATATTCAAATTTCCATTTTGTAAAGAACTTGTGGAAAACTCCAAATTGTAATTATTTTCAACGAAAGCCGTATGGTATATGGCGTATGTTTTCATTGTTTGGTGTGTTTAGTAATCGACATATTTGTCCAGAAAAAATTAGTTACCATAACTCGTTAGTAACTAGTGAATATGAATATTCTTCTTGATCAAAGGAAGCGATTTAAAGGTACACGCCTTTATTGCTTTTCGGAGTACACGGTTCTCTATTTTCGTTTAGTCTCAAGAGACAGTTACTTGAATTTCAAAAATTTAATTTTTTATAATAAGAAATTACAAAGTGTCCCTTAGCAACGGTGTATAACCTGTGTTTAATCTGTTAGCAATACATTTAGTTCTAAATCGCAGGCCAAGCGTCGAATTGACAGCTCGTTCACCTCAACTTGGATCGTAACCGGCCATGTTCATATGGGTTCTAACCTCTGAATTTCTTGTTCTTGTACGTGTTTTTTTTTTTCTGTATAATATCTTCCCAGGTCTAATATTTTTGTGTGTGTGTGTGTGTGTTTTTATGATGATAATGCTGCCTTTGTGAGGTTAGACTGTAATCTAAACGTGATTAAGGATCAGGTTTATGCATGGCTATTACTCTGTTTGCAAATTGGAATTGTCTGTTAATCACAAGCCTAACGACTGAAGGCTGTGTTACGACAAATACAACAAATGAGATAAAACTGAAAATATATTGAACTCTGATAAAACAACAGATTGGCGTCTCTTGCCTGTCTGAGAAAGACTTTCGTTCGCTTTTCCTTCTGAACCTTGCTAATATTTTGTTACACTGGACTATATGCTAGCTATCAGAAGATTCGAGAAACATCACCACAAATTAAAAATGTTTGAAGGATTAAAATTCAGAATTATGATCATACAACACACCCATTGTTCTGAACTGCTTCCGTTCGAGTTTCCGTATCTCTGGATCTCCAGACAATTACTTTTTAATCTCTATTTTTTTTTTTTTGACCTTTAATTTATCTGTTTGTGAAAATTTTATCGGCAAGTTAAATTTCTGTTGGTGGAACAAATTATATCGTGNTTTTTTTTTTTTTTTTTTTTTTTTTTTTTTTTTTTTTATCGAAGTCCTGAAAGGTTGTACGAATCTTTGATCGCTATGTGCATTCTAGCCGAGTTCCAAAAGATTCCACTGAGATCGACAGTATCTGCGACCGCCTTTCCATGAACAGAAGGAGTTGTTACAAAATGAAACAATCGAACTCAATCTTTTTGCAGGGCTCTGAGTGACCTTCCCAATTCGAACATCAGTGATTTACAATGTGTAGAAGTAAATCCAGTCTTTGTAGACGGATCTTTGTGCGAGCACAGAAAACAGTATATTCTTCCATTAGTCAACCACTCATAATTGAACCTTAAATTAACATAGCACTTTAGTTTGCCAAGCAAAGTTATTCTCTGCTAAGTTATTTATTATTTATCACAAAATGAAGCAGAGCAATGCAAAATAGACTATGTTCCTTTTCAACAAAAAATAATTTTGACTTTTTTTGGCATTAAAATATTTCGCATGCTTCGTTATTTTTTTATTTTTTATTTATTATTTTTTTTTTTTTACCGTGTTGTTTAACTAGGGTAGGTCATTTTTTTTTTTTTCTCATTTCCTTCTTTACCGCGCGTTTTTTAAATTCAAAAACATTCCCCTTTTTGATAAAATATATTTACAGCCGTTTTTACCATGTAAGGATGTCGCCATTTCATTTATTTTGCTTGACTCCCCGTCAATACAAGTTCAGTTCTTTTTGTAATATACCTGCATTTTATAAGGGTCGCTACAACTTGCAGAAACAACACCGTAATATATATTGTGTCAGCCTGACAGCCTAATAAAAGAACCCTTGTAATTACTCCATTAGTCAAATGTTCCAGAAGAGCGGCCTTCAATTTGATCGACGTACTGAACTCTCTTCGAACAACTAACTTCTAAACTAATAAAATCGCCAAATTGTTTCTTTGTGAATCAAATTTTCGCCGTTTTTTTTTTTTTTTTGCTGGTGTTTTTGCATGCGTCAATCCTGTTGGCACCTTGCTGGCCTCATTAGTTACTGTTATGAGTTTTATCAAAGTATTTCTCTTAATTCTGTTTCACCATATGTTGCCCAACGCAAGGAAAACAAATCATTTCTGGCGAAGCGAACCATGCGCGTTTTATCTCGTTAAAACAGGAAAGGCGGTGTGAATAGCAAGTTTGTTCTCGACTAGTGACTTGCGAAATAGAGAAACGATTAAGTTCTTTTGGTGGTTACATATGTAAATTAGATTGAATGCTTCTATATATAGTCTGAAATATAAATTATAATTTTTGTAATATTGAGATCGTTGCGGTGTTTTTCAAATCTGTCAGATTGTTACTGTCTTTCATGAGAAAAGAGTTAGTTGATATGATACGTTTACAGTATTGGAAAGAAAGTGAAGTTCAATGTTTTATTTTTCTTATCTTTTCATCTTAATCACAGGTGGTCAACCGAAGGACAACCCGCCATTTTTCTGCCGAGTTATTCTTGATTTGGCGCAGTATTTTCATTCAGCAAGTTCTCGGAAGTGTCGCCAGATGTCTCCCAGTGAAGTCACGTTTTCATTGGACGAGCGCGAGGTGACGTGGCTTTGTTTTCACGCGTTCCAGTCGTGCCTGCGTAAAAAGCAATCTCGCTATGGGGAACTGCTGAAATTTCTCAGGAAGGGCTTGTCGCAGCTACGCTTGCCAGCAGAAGATTTCAAAGCAGTCATTGATATAGATACCTCACAACACGCTGTTTTTAAGCTCATCCATTGAAAGCACATGCAAGCCTCGTGCTCAATTGGGACACTTTCATCTCACTTTAAACTGTCCAAGAGTTCATCAGATACGTTTGACCACAAATGTGTTCACCAAAGTGCTGATGACAAGAAGGCGCCAAGAGTCTCCGTAACAGTGTACACATGCAGCCAGTCTGGTTCAACGACCGCCAGTGCGTTGTAAAAATCCTCCAGAGAAGGATGTTCTGCATACCCCTCACTCAACAAACTTTCGGAAAGATTCTTTGTGTTATTATATCGGACCCATCAGAATATCACGTGGTGTGGTATTGAACTTTTTTCGTGAAAAATCATAATACTCTTCGAATCTCTTAACTCAGTATTCATGTGTGGTTTCAATTTCCTTTTTTGGACGTTTCTGTTGATTTCTTACTCAAAATGATGAAAAAAAAAATCAATAAGCAAGATATCAGTGAACAGCGCACGTCATCAAAAGCCCGTTTGTTGTTCCTAAATCAGTACTGAATTTGATCTTTCCTCCCCAAAATTGCTGTGAAGTTAAAAATATTTATTACCTGATTGTTACTGTAAGCTCAATGTACTGCTGTACAAGTCATATGTTTCCTCTTGAGTCAGGCGGTCGGAACTGCAGCAGCTGTTCATGTCACTCAGTTTACCTGGCACATTGATTTATATTGACTGACATTTCTACAAGCAATTTTAGTGCAGACAATTTGCTAAAAGTAATTGAGTTTGGCCCGCCTTTTTCGTCGTTAATTGCGAAAGGCAGCTGAATTGTCAACACTTTCCGTGTAAGCTTGCCACTAACTCATTGAAAAAAGTACAGATCTTTTGTTGACGATAATTACTTCTTTTTCGCTGTACAAAAGCATCGTCAGGTCTTGTGATGTCAACCCGGTACTCAAGAGTATTTCGAGGTTTTATTTTTTTCCGTCTTCTTTGTCTTAAGCCGCAATCTAAAAATTACCAAATGGAATTAAAATGGCTTAGTTCCAAACTGGCAACAAAGTTAGGTTGCATGAATGCAAGAGAAAAATATATTAAGTATGCTGGTTGATCCCTCTTCTGTGGGAAACCCAATCTCTATTTCTTGACAAAGTAACTCAGCCACCTTGAAACTCTTGAAAGCTATACTGATTCAATTGCGTGATCTTAATTTATCTCATCCATTATCTTGTTGTAAGCCAGTTACAAACTTAATTATATCTTCACCCCTGATAATGAACTCGTGAAGAGAGATCGAATATACGCCAATTTACGATTGGGTTCTTGAAACGTCCGTTTCTGTTAACCGCCCGTATCAAAAAACAGCCATTCACCGTCTGAGATAATTTCAACATAAGGCGTAGTTTGACGGTTTTAAATCTAATTTAAGAAGCAAAACTCGTTTGCGTGATATCTTCACGAATGAAAATTGACTCGCCGCAATAAATCTAAGGCTTTGAGTTAATCTGCTTAGGTGAGCATTCCAAGAGCATTCCTGGGGTTATTTTTGTCCTCTGTGCTCATATCACCTATCAATATTAGTATTCTATATTCAAAAACGATGAAGACCAAGATAAAGCAGTCGTGAATACTGTGTACAGCCAAGAATTTCGCCAAGACGAAAGATTACAACTGCAATGTCGTGTGAACGGGCTTTTGACTATACCGGCAACTAAACAGCTGTTAGTCACTCAGGAAAATAGTTTGGCAGCAGTAAAACGAAAAAACAAAATACACAAAAACAAGGCGCGGAAAGGTTAAAGTTTACAACTAATCCGAAATACGTGACAGGATCCAAGTTTTATTCTCAAAGGAATTTCAAACTTCCCCTACTTGCCTGGTTATCCATTGTTCCGATTGCATAACTTTAGAATAGATCAGAAGAGATCGACGATTGCGAGAGAAACCCTTTTTATAGCAAGGAAGGGATTAATCATAACAATTTCACCCACTGATTTGGGAAACAGCGGAAACGAAAGGAGAGAATTTGCAAACATGAAAAATGTTTCTGATTTTGCCTTCGGGGTTAGCCAATCAGAAGATGGTCAATGTTCTATTAATAGAGCATGTTTCACGTCTAGAACAAAGAAAATGTAATAAAAGCGAAACTACCCTTGAAGCAGGAAGTACTTCCAAGCGCCGGAGTAAAATCAGTACTCCTAAAAATATGGCCAGCATACAAGTTCTTGAAATGTGTGCATGATTTCAGGACTAAATGTTTGAGAACTGAAAAACTTATAAATCCCTATGATATACCAGGTTATTCGAAACCGTAACACCCCTCACAGTCAGCTTGTGGAAAGTCAATATTTTAAAAATTGAATGCTGCATGCTTATAGAACAAAAAAGAATCTTTATGAAAGCTCTAAATGGCTGGCTTGATATCGTCCTTCCCTTAAACTCGAGCTTCGGTCAAAAAATGAAAATACCACGTTAAGGATGTGAGGAGTGTATTTCGATATTGGAGTTGCAGCCGGGCATATATAAATCAGGTTAAAGAAATCTCGGAAATACTCTTGCAAATACTTAAAATTCCTAGTATATTCCTCCTAAATATAGCAAGAACTTCGTAAATAACACTTAAGGTGACGTTAGTCGTGTTCAGTTTATATCAGCTATATTAATAAATACCGATGCAGAAGTATTCATTTACGTAAACACTTTTTCTCCTAGTTTTATAAATAATGACTGAATTAAAAAATACAAATATCAAATTCCGTTCGTGCCAGCTATTTTAAATTTCTGAACTGAAATGAAGCGAGATCTCTTCATTGTACTCGACAACAACAATAATAGCAGGACAGAAAAATAATCTACATTTGAGTCTGGAGACTGAATCAACCCAAAAGTTTTCTAGTCAGTCTCCAGTCATTGTGAAGTTTATATGGATATAATTTTGCGAGAACAGAGAATTCTAAAGAGAAGATGTGTGTACATGCATGTATAATGGAGAAACTTCAGAATAATGTTCAGACGACAGTAAGAGAAGAGAAGTTGAAGGCACTGAGATCTTTCAGATGTGTGGGGATGTTGTCTCAGGGAATAGCCGCTACGTAAGCTATGGTTTGTTCAGTCCAGAACTAGTACGCACTTCTGCCGATATGTATAGATGTTGCCTAGATGCATATCTGGTATTTTTTCCGAGTACTTTACTGGCTTCGTGCAGGCAACTATACGGCTCTTTTGAAATCTTGATCATATAAGGCAATAACTGTCAAATTAATTCGATAGCCTCAACTGTGTAGGGCCGGGCTGGTAATCAAAATATCAACAAGTTCTCAGCTAAACCCCATAGAGAGCCGGAGAGGGAAACTCTCTCATCTCCCGTCTTCTAAACACGGCGCTTGTGTTCAGAGTCACCAACATGGCTGACTGATTTGAGGTTAATGGGTTACATCCGTATCCTCTCAGTGGATAAATTACAGGGGAAATGATAAGGGTATTTTAAAACGCATTTGCTGGTTAAAAATGATCACTCGTCAAGGCGCTTTCGCGCAGTACCTTGTTATGTTTTAATCTACGATATGTTGAAGAAATTCTAGCACACTGATGATGACGATGATGATGATGCATGTAAAAACTTCAATTAACATTCTTAAATAATTGCTATTACTGCGCATGTGTAGGTAGATAACGTTTAAAACAATTCGAAGATCTCAAGAGGAGATTTAAAAGCCATTACAATGACTTTCTGATTATTGTAATCTAGTAAGGACTTGTGGCTTAGTGAGAAATTTGGTAATGTTGGATTTGAGTGAGAGAACCAGGAGAAAATCCCTCGGATCAAGGCAGTAGAACCTTTAGCAACGAAATCAGTCGAAACAACTCCCGCCGAGATTCAATACCCCGGCCACACTAGCCCTTGAAGGAGTGGCACCCCTGAGTGAGTTTAGCAGCATGAAAATCCTATTTTGAGTTACAGCTATAATCCCTTTTCAATCTTGCCCATTTTTGCTCGTTTGTAATAATTACTCACCACTTCCCTGGTACTTTTCTTACTTTTTAAGCTATTATCACGCTAAAGTTGGCGTAAAACAAGAAGTAGTTCACAAAAGAATTAGATTATGAGCTCGAGACTTGTGTAGATCTCTATAGTTAACGAGGGCCGGCAAAGCCCGAGTCAACATGGTATCACGTAAAGAAATCGAGATCGAATAAGCTACTTAGTTTAGTGTAAGTCTACTAGTCGTTCAAACTTTATCTTAATCATCTTCGCAGACACTTCAAAAACGCAGAGAAGCGGCCGCCATTTTGTTAACAACCGCACACTGCTAGGCTACTCAACATCTACCACAGAATAGATAGTGAGTAGCGTAGCCAATAAGAGAACGGCATTCGTGATAGAACGCTACAGTAGACTTATACTAACAAGCCTTAACTGAAAGAAAAAGCAAGTCACCAGTGCGGAAGATTGAAATAGTCCTGTTGTCGGATTTGAGGTCCTCGGATTGTGGGGCCTTCTTGAAAGGAGTAAAATTAGACTCGCTGGAAGAAAAACATTAACACGGGGATTTTTGGTCCACTTTTCCAGTAACCTGATAACCCAGAACAGTCCTTAAGCGGGTTAACAAATTGACATCATAATTATTTTTCAAACTGACATCGGTGGTTTAAACGGAATCATAGACTGTGTTACAAAGTGTAATCTAAACCCGCAAAATAGATATCAAATTGTGCCAAGAAGACAAGATGTCGCACAGCAAACATTTCGGCCATGACACTTCTTCAGGCTTTCATCAGCTCAATACTAAATTTTAGATTCTTCTCATAATTAGATTAATTTATTTTTTTCTATCCCGATTGCCGGAGTAACTGTCTCATGCGGTCTTGAAACCCCTTTTTCTGAACTTTTCGCCTTTAAATTCTTCGGTTCTTCAGACGTAGAATTTTAATTGAGCGTGTAAATATCTGTGGAATCACTTTTTTTAGCAGGGACATCATGGCGCGAGTGAAGTCTCGGGGTAAGCAGGTGTGATCAAAGTTTAAAAAAAAAAATACACGTAAGACAATGATGAAAGCTTGCTTCATTTCCTGCCAATTAACTGATCATAAATTTAAAACAAAACTAGAAGAAGCAATTGTTTTTCTTTTTAATAAACTGGCTTTTGAATTACTGTTCTTGTATTTCAAATGGCCAGGCTTTTCTAAATAATAGTTCTGACGCATTTGTGACGCCATCTGTGCGTAAATTGTTTGCAGTTAATCCTTCACCTGTATGCCAATGCAAAACATTATGAAAAACAATGTTGTTCTGAATAATACCCTGTTTATCAACGCTCTACATCACCTTTCCCTGGCAACCAAATATGTACATTTTTCATTGCATTTTCTTAACACTCGGGGACTCGAAGTGATCCTTTACTTTTACCGTGCTGTTTCATAAGCCTTGCGGAAAGAGAAAACTGATTTTTATGGTTTATTTAGCAACAACCGGAAATTGAAAATGTTGTCTCTTTGTTCCCACAGACTTGAAGAAATACTCGTAGAAGTTGAGACCTAGAAACTGCTCTGGCGCTTCCCAGAACCTTTTCCATTCTCTCAATCCAATCACTGGTGTGGCAATAACTCTATGGAAACATAAAAACTTTTTGTAGCTAAATTTGCAGCCTACGTGAGAAATCCCAGTGATGCTGTTAATGGAAAAGACGTTAAATTTTGCTCGGTGAAAAAAAAAGGTAGTCCAGATAGCCGCGGTACGTTTTTAACCTCCGTCGCTCGTTCAAAGCACGTTTTGTATCTGTACTGTAAATTATTTTCCATAAAAAATATTAAAACAGCCAACCTGGAGTCTTCTATCATATGAAACCGAAGATGAGACAGATGATGACATCACATGACACCGATGATAAGCCGATGATATGCCGATGATAAGCCGATGATGAGTCGTAATACTTTCCACAAACCCAAATCTGAATTCGAAGCGGTTCGTCTCGAATTCGGTTGGGATCACCCCACAGAATTACGTTTTAGTTAGGAAGGTAGACATGCAAGGTTCACTCGATAAAAAAAAAAAGCCGAGAGACTGGAACCCCATGGAATACACAAACCGGAGATCAATAATAACATTTAGTTTGTAACAAACTTACGTTATTTTATGTCAAAACTTTTATAGAGAACGGTTCTATTATATAATTTACGTTTGCGTCATTTTGCAATTTTTGTGGCAATGTAGGTTTGTTTTACAAGCTAAAATATCCTACAACTTGTGTTTGATATTTCAATTTCTACATCCAAGTGTTTTTTCTGGTTCTTTTTTGTCTCGGCTACACGTTCTTCTCCTTACCATAAAGATTATTCTGTCATTTATCGCATCATAAATAATTCCTTTTGTCTGCCGTTTGTCGTTTCTACGTGATGGCGTTTCTTGTGGACGTGCCGTACCATTATTGGTTTTTGCCTTTCTTATGGTAAACCGGCTGATTGAACGGCAAGCAAGTTTGCCGTGCTGTAGAACGAGGCGGCCAATGTTTCATTCAATCACAAAATTGAGTTTATTTCCTCCAGGTTTGCGTGCGTCTGTTGTTTTGTTCGTCAAGAAAAAGCCAATAAATTTAAGTTGAATGCCAATACAGTAATACCTGTTAGGGTTGCACTGACTGTTACGTTTTCTATTATTATTTTCATCTCCTCTGTACTGATCAAAATATCACTCAGCGAGGTCAAACTCGGTGAAGACGTGTATCCTTTGATGAGAAGTGGAGCGGAATCAGCGCAGGTTTTACAGAGTAAAACTAGCTCTCTGTATTCACAAATTACGTTTCACGTTTTCCTTGCCGAGTTAGACTAAAACACTCCGAGCTGCGCGAAACGAATTTCCTTTTATATCGAACAAGCGTTCTCTTCTCGAGCCCCTTTCCCTCTTTTTTGGCACTTTTTGTCGAGTGATCGTCTTCGAGTACTCCAAGTAGGAGAAGACAGGTTAAAGCTGTTTCTAAATTTATAGCTAACAACACAGTAATGTTGTTATGGGACTTTGTTTATCCAGTAAAAATAAATTGTTGCATTGTTCTCATGTTTTAAATGTCGACTTCGTATTAAAATTAACACTTGAAAATATTTGCATATATAGGAACATGACTGGATATAAGAATCGAAAATATAGTAAAGCTGATAAAAATAAAAGTTAGTTAAATGCTCGATTTTCCGTTTCGAGTGTTCCCTTCCTGTCAGCTTCAGAATTTGACGTATCTACGCTAGCAGGAACTAAGAAACGTTCCGAAGAGCGAAAAAAATTTTACCGAGCTTTCTTTTATTGTCAGGGAACAAAAGCAAACGAAAAAATGCCCAATGTAAAATTCAAATTTTGAAAATTGTTAGGTTAGAGGTATCGATGGAGAAGAAAAAGAGAGAAGTTTTCCTTTGCTTCGTAACCGAATTGTAGTTGGCCAAACGACATGACCATCGCTTTCCTAAACACTGGGTTATCCCGTAAACTATTTACCGGACTATTTACCAAAAGTTATATTTATAGCCTGCATAATATCAACACATCGATAAAACGCTGAGCAATAAAGTAAACAGATGTTCTCTTGCATTAACTTTCAGACTTAATAATCTCCTATAAAACCATGCAAAAACGAGTAACTCATGGCTGTGTACCGGCTCCATATGGTCACTCGCAGCTTAGCACCATTGTTTGTAAATCGCCAGTTATGGGTCAGAACAACAGCTACGGTTCGAAACCGTTGTGAGAGCGAGCTGTGACGCTTATAAAAGAACAACTGATCGCAGGTTGAACTCAGTAAAATTCACCATGAAAAGCGAAAAATTTATTTTGTCACTCATAGATAAAGAAACCTTCAGTCAGAGAAATCCTGACACCCACGTGGTTATAGAAACTATTTTGCCATCGGCCGTTAGCGAAAAGTTTTTAATCGCTTCAATATTGTCAAAATTGACTGTTCCTAGTTAATTTACCGTCATTTTTTTCCTGTAGCCTCTTGTATCAAAAATTTTGCACGCGGTTTGTATTGATTTGAAATGACTTGCAAGCCCTAACTGATCGAACAACTTCTTTTAACTGGTGAAAAGTTCTTTCATCCGGCTGAATATCTACATGACGATCTCTATAGGGCTTAGCTGTTTATAAATAGCCTTTCTTAATATAATCGCGTAGTCTAGCTCGCCGCCTGCAAGTCGAACATTCTCAAGAAGTTCTGACAGAAAAAAAAACCATTATATTAGAGGAGTTATCGTAGTCGTCTGAAGTTTCATTCAAAACAGTCGCTTTTTCTTCTTTCAATCCATATATTCCGATAAAAACCAGATCGTGCGAGCGTTTGTGTAATTAATTTTATGTGTGTCTTGTAAAGGTTTCTATTTAGACGGAGCTTTTCGATATCAGTCTCTGATGACTTAGTGAATCAAATATTTTGATCACGTGACTTAGCCGAACTTTTAAATTGCTTCATTTTAATTCAAAGCCGGGTGCTTTTTGAGTAACAACTTATCAGCACGATAAAATTTCAAATCAACTTTTTGGGGAGATAATTTGGGCTTTGGATACGGGCGAGTAATGGAACATGTTGATATGTGAACGCGCAGATTGCAGCCCTCGGCTTGATATCCGGGACTTTTCGTTCCCAGAAGTCGTGTCGCGCATGGTTTGCTCAGTGTGCGGGCGTGGTTGTGGTTGGTTGTTGTAATAAAAGCGAACTTCGAACGCCATAACTTGCTTGGAAAACCGGATAACGACCTTCATGCATGGCGAAGTCGTAAGATATTTTAACGCATGTTAGTCGGGTAAGAGTCCCCTCGAGCATCCAATCATTACAGTTGGGCTTCTGTTTGTGGTTTACGTAACTGCCGGACTGTCAAAGTTCTCACGAACGGCCAAGCTTAGCGAGTGAAACTCAAATTTTCGAACTCTAAATATCAACATGGGTTGCACACTCAGTGCTGAGGACAAAGCTGCTGTGGAAAGGAGCAAGATGATCGATAAAAACCTTCGAGCTGACGGAGAAAGAGCAGCCAGAGAGGTCAAGCTTCTCCTTTTAGGTTAGTGGTGCGATGTTGTGCGCTCGGTCGAAGCATAGCTGATGCATCGATCGATCCTCAACGTGTGTAGGTTTACCTATATGTAGGATAGTTCAAACGCAACGAACTTTCGAATATTTATGCGGAGCCTTTGTGTTTGTTATGAATACAGTCAGCCGTATGGTTAAGCCGCCTTACCGGGCTAGTTACGAGGAAGAAAAATCTTTGTGCGATTACAAAAGCTTCGTCATTTGGGGGTTTTAATACGCTACTTGCGACTTTGAAAAAGATCGCGGATTTGCTGTCGGGTTTTCTTTCCTTAGCAACATTTCATGATGGCAGTTCTGTTTATAAATCATTACACACTTAAAAAAATTCAGTTTATCGCCGTTTGTGGCCGTGATAAATTGTAGTTTGGATTCGCCGTGTAGAATGTAACGCTTAAATGCAAAAAGTATAATCCGCCATTACAAGCGAACGTATGAATAATATTTTCTCATCAAGCTCAAAAAAATTGATTTTGCGCTTTTCTGGAAAATTTCGGTAGCGAGGTTTCTGGTACAACTCAGTGTTATTGTGTGAGAAAGCTGCGATACAACAACGGGTGGAAACCATTTGAGTGCAGTTTCGCTAGCACATATGATCGATCGAACGCTCTCTAAACCAGTGATTACTTTATATTGTCGTCTTGAAAGGGAAACCCATGCTGAAAAAAACTGAAAAGGTTGGCAAAATGCCTATCCTACATAACATCCGTCATCAGTTTTAACTTATAGACTTTCTTTGTATTCTTTTAGCGAAAGTAATAGGAAAGATTTCAGCTTGCTCTCTCTGTGAATGTTCCGTATCTATATTGGAACGTGTGAATTTTAAATCGAATATTAGATCGGCGGAGAGATGGTAGGTGTTGGATTTCAACTCTGGGGAAAGCTGAAGGCGAAAATTTTGTTCCAGTTATTGAGAATGAAAGTTACTTGTTACGCAGTTATAAGTAATTTTGTACCTATTCTTTAATTTTGTTTCGGTACGAATTTTTTTTTTTTCGTTTTACTTTTCTTGACAGTGAATAATACATTTCTTTCGGTGGCTTCTTTTCCCTCAGAAATTTAAATCATCACAGAACTACGTCATTTGTAGGTCCGAATATTGTGGACAATTTTCTCTTTAAGCAACGCTAAGTGCTAGTGTTACTATTATGTAGTGTTTCTTTTTTTACAAGAAACGGGAAGTGAAGTGACGAGCGTTGATCGTGTTATTTCGAGTCCTGTCTCCATGGAAGTTTGATGTTTTCACAAACAGGTGTTGACTAACTATATAAAGTCCATGGCTAATATGTTTTGCGATCTGGATTTGTAAATGACCTTATATCGTTTCCTTGTCTGTTTGCTGTTTTTATTCTCTGTTAGATCTGTTTTTTTTGCTTGCGGGAATTTATTTATCTCTGATAAAAACTGTCGTATCTTAAAAGATAAGGATGATATGATGACAATATGAAAAGTCCACATGGTCATCTTATGATCTATTTGTTGTGGTTTTGTTGTATAGTTATGTTGCATTAGTAGATTTAGTTGATGTTTTAGTTCAACACAACTGATATACCCAAGTTAGCACATGCAGTAACATTTGATGGACATGAATTTAATTGGTGCAAGTACTGTAGTACCTCTATATGTTATGCAAGTGATTATGAAAAGCAACAATCAATTACAGATTTGTTCTCATTCAGTTCTTTAAGGAGATAAAACAGAGAGGGAAAACTTTGAAAAATATTTACTGCTATCAATGTCAAATTTTATGCTAAGTTACAAAAAGTATCTTTTTTCAGGAAGTTTACATGGGGATGTAACTGTCTAAACACTGTTTTGGTGGGATTTTCTGGCATTTCCTGGTAATCAGAAAGAATTGACATCGAATTCCGAACCAATGTAATGTGATCATTGGAAGTAGTCAACTCTCCGTGTACTTTTCTGAGTGAGCTCTTGACTTTGTATAATGTTCTAAAGTGCAGCAAGCATTGGAAAGGTAAAGCTTTGTTGTGGAACTTTGCCTCACTCAGTGTGCTGTACTGGATATAGCATGTTAGATGTTAGGTTTGAATGGCACAATGTCTGTTTTACAGCATTTTTGTTCTTATCAGTCTTGTGGTTTTGAAATTTGTTGTTTTGTTGTGGTAGACCTAAATGCTAATTATTGCATGGCTAAGACAGCTACGATTCAAGGGGCCCAGTATGCCTTGGTGCTAGTCCAGTTTTTTCGACATAAATTGTTTGTTTAGGACTGTATTGGGAAATTTCAACGTTTAGTCAGTTCTACACAGGTCTCACTGTTCTTAGTCCATCCTTTTTAAGTATTTTAGTGCAATCCTTGTGGATGGTTAATAAGATGTATCCATTTCATTAAAAGTAATGACTGATTTTAAAAATAATACAAACACAATGTTTCTGTCATATTTGTCGTTTTTATGAATTTGTATTTACTTTTTAACATGAAATTATTCCTGGTTTATTTGCTTATCTCTTCAGAACACATTACGTGAAGAACTTTTTACCTCTCAAAGCTTTCTAATACAAAGAGTAACAGTAGCCGACTGTACATATTCCAACAAATTTTCTTACCATTCTCAAAATATGTCAACTCTGAAGTCAGTATGGATTATTAACTAGTCTTGTTCAGTCATGATGGCATGACACTGGCTATCAACCTAAATGTGTAGCTTCTTTACTGATCAAACATGTTATATACAGCAGTTTTCAATTGAGTGTCGTAAAACCAAAGTAATTACTCTAGCCAATCACCAAGGACACCGGCAATACAGTGAACCAATCAAACCCTGAAGTAATTACATGTAGCTGACGCAAAGCACGGGAAAACATGTGCGCGTAAGTTGCGATTGGTTTTGGTTTTACTTGTGATTGGATGAGATTGTGGCGCGAATTTTTTAAGCCAATCGTGTTGCGTAGTTAATGCGAAACCAATTACTTTTTGACACTCAAAGGAAAACTGCTCTATTAGATGATATATTGTGATAAATAACAATTAGTGTAATAATTTGATAAATGTCCTATGGTTAGAACTACAAAGCCATTTGGTAAGACTGTTTATAAGGGATAGCTCACGGTGGCAGGGGTAATTTGAAGAATGCCGAATGTCCTGTTTTCTTGCGGTTAGTTTCACTTATATTTGCTTGTGGTTAGCTTTTATTTGTTGGACAGGGCTATATGCAATATAATGCTGTCGTTAACAAACAAAAGCTAACAGCAAGCAAACACGAGTGAAACTACTAAACCGCAAGCACACAGTGCATTCAGCATTCTTCAGAATACCCCTGCCAAGCTCATTGTGAAACACATGTGGAAAGAGAAAACATGGAAGTATTAAACTCCCTTAAAAGGGTGATGTAACAAAACTCAAATAATGGAAGCAATGAACTGTCACATACTCCAAAAAGGTTTCATGTGTTATTTCCAGTCAGAGGAAATTAATCTGTAATGCATAAACTGTTGAAGCTGCAGTTATGTTCTCACAGATTCCTCAGCTTAAGTTTTTTAATGAAAGAAAAAGAGCAGTGGTCTGGAAACTGTGCAAGGTATGGCAAATTAAAGTTCCGAATCATTAATTTAAGCGAGAGTTGCATGTGGACTGAACCAAGGGCTCAACATAATGACCAGCTAAATACTAGCGAGACAAATTAGGCAAATTAACATCCAGTGCTTAATTTGTTACATGTAGATTACTGTTACAACTGGAACATCTGGGCCAGGTTGTTCAAAAGCTGGTTAACGCTAACTCAGGATTAAAAGTCAACCGAAGTATTAATTTTTCTTGTATAAAAATGTTTTTTACTGCTCACGTTTTGTGTAGTTTGAGCTTAGTCAAGCTCAAAACTGAAGGACAAACATTATAAACAGAAAACTCACTGAAAAGTTACAAAACTGAAATCGACATTCTTGTTAATCCTGGGTTAGCTTAATCGAGCTGTGATCAACCGGGCCCTGCAGTTTATTACTTTGGTTGACGAAATCAGGTAGATGTCAAGAGAAAGTTAATACTAGTATGGCAATGATTTAGACTAGGAGATGTATAATCCTGTAACCATTGTTTTAAAAACAAAAACAAACTATTTGACCACAAGACACAGTGGCAACAACCATTTGGAAAATTTTAATTTTGCAACATATTTTACAATTTAAGCTACAGTGTACAGTACTGTAGCACTGTGAACTATTGGGGTGATTGTATGATGATCAGGTGGCTCTTCATGGTAATCACACCACAGTCATGTGCCTCTCAGCTTCAAAACATTTCAAGTTTACCAGTTTCAAGGAGAACAGTTTTTTATAGTTTGTAATTCAAACTGCTCTCACTAGTGACAAATATGATTTTCTTAAGAACTGGAAAAACAAAAGAAATTCAATTGTCAGGATCATTCAAGTTTTTGTTTTAATTCAATACATGTAGATCTACCAGAATCCAAAAAAAAAAAACCTTCAGGGGTGGCCAATTTGCAATCTTCACCCAAAATCAAACATTTTCCTGGCTGCTGAGAGACCAGAAAGAAATTAGGAGGTGTTCTCGTTCCTTGAACAACCAATGCTCTAAGTTTATTCATTCCCAATAACGAAGCATGCAAAGTCTAAAAATAGAATGCAAATTATTGGAACCCCGTGAGATTCAGACAACATAAGCGTGTTCTGAGAGAAATACGGAGGAAAATGAATGCCAAATTTTCATTTTAAAATTGGTTTAGGAACACTTGGTTACGTGCTTGAAAAAGCTTCAAATCTTCCACCGTTCCATTTTGTTTGTCCGAGTTTGTCTGAGTTATAACATCACTCGTGCGATTTGCTATTGTCCTTCTGGGTACCAAAGATAAACACTTTTTCATGGGAACCAGCAAGCTTATCATTTACTATTTGACAGTTGCAGAGCAGAGCTCATCTACACGTGTACTAGCTAGTTATCCACACGTATGATCTGTGAAACCCACACTCCATAAAACATACATTGTGTGTGGATCTCGAGTGAAGGCTTTCATACAAAAAGGGTGTATATAGCATTTTGGGCTGATTTTTATTTTTTGCAGGATCGAGCTAATTTTTGGCAGACTGATTTGTTTTGACATGAAAAGCATTGTGGCGTAATTGCTTTTGTTGATTTGCGCTTCATTTTCGAGAAATGATGTATGCAAAAAACTCTCTACATGTACATCTATCTTAGGCTGTAATTTATGAACTGCATTTTTAAATTCCCACCTTTTGAAAGCAGCGTTATATAATTAGTAAGTAAGTAAGTAAGTAAGTAAAGACTTTATTTAAAGAGGGTAGCACTAAAATAGTATAAAAATACTAACAAACCAGTGGCCCTCTAAAAATTATGTACAATACGCATGTTCAAACTATGGCATAATTATGAGATAATATAACAAATAAAATTTGTGTGGTTGTAAGTAACCTGTCAAATGAGTTTTCCAGAAAAGACTTGTCTTATTTGTCAATCAACAGGGAATGAGACAGAAGCTGAAAATGGGCAGATTTTGTTTGCTAAAAATTATTCCAAACCAAATTGAATGATTAAATTTCTTTTTTTTTTGATATCTTGAACTATTTTGGTTTCAAGAAATAAATTAAACTGTGTACATGTTAAGTTCCACAAAATTGAAACTTGATGAAATTTGAAGACATGATTTTGCCTGTGTTAGTGTGAATGGTCCAATTTTATTATGAAATGAAAACATCCAAGAGAGTAACTACTAGATTTTACAGTGGCTTTAAAAGAGAAAAATTGGAATTTGAGAAGCTCACAGCTGTGCATGCAAAACTACTCTACATGTAGAATGGAAATTGATTAACTATTGCTCTTAAACAGGTTAAATTCCCACTGTATATTTCTTAGTCCAAACCATGTGAATAACCTTGTAAAAATTGTTGAAGTTGCCAAGGCAAGGTTTTCTAACTGTTCAAAAATATATATATATATTTCAATATTTTTCTCGTTAAGAATACAACTGTGTCACATTTGCAATTTATGTAAAATAATTTAACACTTGAGACTATAGTCGTAGGGATCTTACATAAATTTCCAAGAGACATAGGCTATATTTAAAAAACGTTTTGTATTTTCTTATCTTTTAATTTTGTAAATTGAAAAAATACCGGCAATTCTACAGATAAGTTCATAATTTAATTATCACAGCTTTTATCAGTCCTGAGTTAAATTGTTCATTAAAGTAAGCAAAAGTTTAAAGCCCCGGCAACCATAAAATTGGGAAACTATGCATGCATGAAATAGCCATTGAAATGATTGTTATTACAAAAGCAATGTGACATTGATTTGCCAGCTGACAAGTCATTGCATAAACCTAACGATTTGTGAGATGTCTTAAAATGATGTACATGTATGGTCTTAATTTTGCGTTCATTGCAAGATTAATTTTATGCTGCAAGATTTGGGTTGACTTCAAAATGTTAGTCTCAGTTTTTTGCTACACACTACAGTACTCTGCTATTATGGCATTCAGTTTTAATTCAAATCAACCTGTAGTACTTTAAAACTTTGACAGGCCCACTTTGAAATAAGAATGGATTTAGTTTGCAACAGACATTTTGTTATTTTATTGGATAAGTGCAATCTCTCTCTTAATAATATTTATTACAGGAAGCTCTCTCACCTACCAGTGATATTAACAGAGAGGTCCTGTTCTAAATATATCATTAGTCACAAAATTAAAGGAATAAAATATGTTCTAAAACTAAACTAAGCAGAAAGAAAAAGAAATTACATAATCTCCATTTAAAATTTACTTTTAAAATTGGATATGGTCCACAAGTTTCTTAAATCTCTATCTAAATTATTCCAATCTTTGAAGGCACATGGTAACAAGTCCTTTGCTGTCCCCAATTTCGTTTTACAGATTGAAGTCTAAGATTTCTTTGTTGCATGTACTGTGACTATGTACATCTCTGTTTCTTAGTAGTTCTATACTGTGGGAAGTTATTCCATTAACGTTTATAAACATACAGGCAATGATGAAAGAACCTCCATTGTTCTAAGCTTAACCAACTGAGTTGACTAGGTGCCTCCATTGCAGAATAATACAAAGGTCTAGTTTAGCAGCCTTATTTTGTAGCAGCTATAGGTTGTCTTACAGCAGTTGGTGAAACCCAGTTTCTGACTTTTCGCAATCTTGCAATCTGATTGGTTATTCAGGAATTGTCTATCAAAAATAGCAGCAGTGGAATTCCAATTCTTTGACCACCAGGATCTATTGGTATTGAGATGCATGTTTTGAAGGGCTTCTCTAATGAGAAAGTGCCTGACTGGTAGTACCCTAGGAAGGAAAATAAAACCGTGTATGAAGTAATGATAGTCATCATCTGTAGCACTGTGCAGGGTGGCACATATATTGAAAGGATCTGGGACCCGTTTCTCAAAGGTCCCGAAAAGTTTCCGCACCCAGGAAGCTGTAGCAAAATCTCAAACCCTATGATTAGAGAGCTGTTTTATTTTCATATTCATAATATGACCAGAACTTCCCTTCACACAAGAAGTTTCAGGCGTATACATATACCTGGCTTTGTGGGCCCGCAAAGTTTCTGGGGCTTTCAAGAAACGGGCCCCTGGTCATCATATGATTTAAATTGCTTCATTTTTGTGATGTAAAGAATCACCTTCAAATCAAGGGACCAAAAAAAATGATCACACATAAACTTTGCATGGGTGGAAATACCTAAAATTGGTTTAAAAAAGAAACTTAAGATTTGGAGAGATTGAGACAGATTGCAAATAGCAAATTTGAAAAATTAAGGCTGATAAACCTCAAGCTTGCATTCTATCCTCGTGCTTTTTCAGATTGGGGCTTTGCATTCACCTACATTTACAAACAAATGATGTCCATTATTCACCAGAAGGAATGTAGTTTGTGATAAATTTTACTGTTAAATTCTGTGCACCACACATCTCTGGTTGGTAATATACACTGTACATGTGTACACTGTGCAGGTTGAAACTTACATGTTTCAAGTTGTATATTAATCATAGCTTTTGAGTAATATCCCTTACTTTTCATAGTCATATCTATTACCTACTGTTTAGTTGGTGTTCATTCTTGATTTGAAAGGGTTAATATTCCTTTTTCAGGTGCTGGTGAATCTGGGAAAAGTACCATTGTGAAACAGATGAAGTGAGTACAGTCCAGTTAATTTTTAAAAATCATGTCAGATTACTGTTTCCTCATGAGGAAAAACAAGTAAAATTTTTCCCATAATTAGAATGATTGTTATGATGTCCATTTGTGTGATATTGTTCCCCATATTAGTATGGGTAATCAATTGCTGACAAGTGACATTAGGAAATAATTTCACATATATTTTGTCAAAATTCTAATAATTTAAGGCTCGGAAAATTATTTGAATTTTGACAAAACGCTAGTGAAATTATTTCTTAATTTCATGGATATACTATTTTGATACCTGTTAATATCGTGGGTGACAAAGAGCACTTACAATTGTGGTTATTTTTTTGTACTTGCTTATTGTATCAAGAAATTTCATGCAAAACGTTGTCATTTCACATGTGAAATTATAAATTAACGCTGAGATTTCTTGCCAAAATTAAGGAGTAATTTGACACCCATGATATTATGTTCATAACATATTTTATGGTGCACATTGTAATCATACATCATAGACCCATGTAATTGCCTGTTGCACAATTGTCAAGTCACCATAGAATAAGCAAGTTAACATTAAATTGTTTTGAAACAACTTTTTTGGCTGATAGGATTATTCATGAACATGGCTACACTCAAGAAGAATGTGCCCAGTATAGACAAGTTGTATATAGCAACACAATACAGTCAATGATTGCCATTATCAGAGCATTAGGGACACTGAAGGTTGAATTTGGTAACTCTGATAGAGCAGTAAGTTTATTTGTTTCCTGTTTTAATTGTTGTTGTTGTTGTTGTTTTGTTTTGTTTTGCTTTTCTTTTTAAGCATACATAGTTATATTAGTCAGTTACAAATCAGTTGAGCGCCCAAGTGGCCTAGCTTATTTTAACACCTCAAATGTTGCATGTTAATTTAATGCAGGAAAAACAACCTACTTGTTTACTTTTTATGTGGATGTACTTAACATCAAACTTCGAGGCTGGTTTTCTCTAGAGTCTGAGTCCCAGTCATAAGAGCACTTATGACCCAGTGAAAAGCGAAAATCAGCAACATAACAGAGTCATGAGCATAAGGGAATCAGCATCAGAAGAATCACAATGATTTTATTTTCCTATGATTCCATGTACAACTCAGTTCTAGTGAGAACTACTTTGTCAGAGTCAGAAGCGGAAGTGGAAGACCAAACCAATCTTGAGTCCTGGAATTGAGCATTGTTATTGGTTTCATCTGCTTCTGTTAAGCGGAATCGATGCTCTGCTTCTGACTCCATTGGTTTGATTTTCACTAGATTGAATCGCACTGCACTTCTGATTAGAGACTCTGAATGGCTCACCTTTGAGTCATAAGCGCGAGCAGCGAAGAGCAAAGCAATCTGGCAGGAAGGAATCTGGTGAAGAGGTGCCAAGAAAGTGAGCCTGCCTTGATCTCTGTAATTTTTTTCTGCTTTGCCTGATTGAAGTGAAATGCCATTGGTCGAAAAGTGGGAAAGGCAAGAAACTGTCAATCTGTTATGTTTGATGAGGAGCAATTAGATCTCTATGGAGTTGGTAATTTACCGCACGTTCTCACAATGTTCTCACAGTGCGCCTATTAGTGATGTTTTAACAAAGTTCCAGTCCAGTTCTGGTTAACGTTCAGACTAGAGAGGGAACTAAACAACACACAGGTATTATTTGCCCATTTACCAGCATCATCAAAGACCAGACTGCCAAAGAAAGATCATTTAGAATCAAGTGTGTGTCCTTGCTGGACATAAACTTTGACGGTTTTTCTTCAGCAAAACTTTATCAACAGCGGATATCGCGCCTGCATGTTGTTATAAAAAAGATTTACAATTTTCCTGAAAAATCTGAGCTGCCTAAGTTCATACTTCTGGTGAAAATTAGTTGGCTTATTTTTCTGCGGTTTCTGGGGTGGAAATGAAAAATTTGCTGAGATCAGAGCAGGCTCAATTTCTTGCCCGCTTGATTTTGTGCTTGCAGCTATGCCGCGCGCGCTTCTGCTTCAATGTGTAGTTCCAGAAAATATCCATACCTCCCCCACAGAAGGGATTTTTTCCAAGACCCCCCACCCCTCTGGAAATTCCAATTAAACTTGATACATTTCTTTAAATT